GACATACGTGTGTTTGTTGGTCTTGGAGAGAGTGTACTGAGAAGGTTACAGTCCCCATATGAGAAACTTGGGTCATTCTTAGTGTCTGCAATTCTTTTGATGAACTCGCAGAAGTAGGAAAAAGGAGAAAAGGCAACTCTATGTTCTTCCTTATACTTTGATCCAAGCGCTGCCCATCTTTCTTGAATTCCATATGGTAGCTTGAGAACAATAGATTTGATGCCGTGAAGTGTCAAGGTAACTGAGACCAGGTAAGTTGATGTCAGCCTTAGCAAGTTGAAGTTCTAATGGAACATCGCTGAGTTCTTGAAACTTTAGATTGTCGTTTTCAGAAATCCGTGGGAAGCTTTGCAGCCTTTTGAATAAAGCATCTTCAGTGGCCTCTGGGCTGCCAAAGGTATGTTCCAGTCTGCCCCAAGTAGCATTAAGGCCTGCAGAAGGGTTGTCAATGTGAACTGCTTTGAGCCTCTTGATGTGTTCAGTAGACTGGGGACCTAGCCATCTGATGAGTAGATCTATTTCCTCTGTGGCATTGATGTCTAGGTCACTCATTGTGGCCTTAAAAGTGGATTTCCAGCCTCTGTAATTTTCAGGCTTGTCATCAAACTTGGTGAGGCCTGTCTTACAAGCTCTCTGCGGAGCATGTATTTAGCAAACTGTAACATGTCTGTGTTTTCAGACTTTAGGTGCATGACTGCAGGTGGAGCAGAGTTGGTTGTGACGGTTGGTGGACTTACGTGGAGTGATTTGGGAACATATGTGCTGCTGAAGCATTCAATGCCAGAGCTGGCTTAAAGTCCATTGGCATGTTGGTTTGTAGAGTAGTGCGTTTGCTAGGAGGTACTCTGTTGGTGCCAAAGTATGATGGACGGTCTATTAAATACACATCAGTGTCTGCGGCTAGCTGAGATGCTGCAGTTTGATGTATTGGAGGATATAAGGGCAAATGGTCTTGAGGTACAGTAGGTGCAGAGAAGAGACTTTGATTGAGTACTTTGGCTGCTGTGACAGGGAGTTGACGTTCTGGAGAGGAGTGTGAAGAATCTGAGACATAAGATACAACTGAGTGTCTGGAACTGTTGTCTCTTTCGTTTTCACTAACAGCTTGTTCTAAGACCTTTAATGTTGCCATGGCTGTGGCATGCTCACATTGTTTTTCCAAAACTTCAATTTCTGCCCTTTTGGCGTGTGGCTTCAGCTTCTTTCTCTGCTTTCTGATGTGCGGCCTGAGCCTCCATTTCTGCTTTCTTATTTGCGACCTGAGTCTCTATTTCTGCGGCCTGAGCCTCTATTTCTGCCTTTTTATGTGTGACCTGAGCCTCCATTTCTGCTGTCTTATATGCGGCTTGTGCCTCTATTTCTGTGGCCTGAGCCTCTCTTTTTGCTTTCTGATGCGCAACCTTAGCCTCCATTTCTGCAGCCTAAGCCTCTATTTTTGCTTTCTTTTGGGCGAAAGCTGCCTGAATTTTAGAAGCTTCAGCATCAGCACGGGCCTTTATTAGTTGTTGACTGAGTGTAGAAGACCTTGATTGTATGGATTTGGAAGATCTTGAGGAGCGTCTAGTAGATGCAGAGCGATAAGTTCTGGATTCATGGAGCTGTGTTATTCTCACTTCTGCCTTTGTCTTTGTTCGCACCACTAAATTGGCTCTTTCAAGATTGAGCTCCTCAAAACTCATTAATTCTTCCAATGACCTTTGAGTGTCGTGCCGCTTTAACTAAGCAATATATTTAACACACAGTCTTTGATAATTCTCTATAAGCAACATTCAATTGCCCTCTAGTTGTATTGGCTCATGAGATTGTTGGGAGAGAGCAGACATGCATTTAACAGTGTTAATCCATAAGTCATTAATATTAGACAGCAATTCTAACTTGTCAGCATTAAGATTTTCTTGCACTTTCCAGGTTGGATTTCTTAAGCGTTTTTCTATTTTATCTAAGTTCTGCTCTGGATGAAGCTCTGATTGTGGTTGTGTATTGGTTTCTCCAGACTGTATATTACTTTCCTGAAACATCATGTTAGCAAGGAGAGGGGTTGATAGAAAGTTTACAGAGAAATGTATCACTTTTCCTGTGGCTGAGTTCAGGTTTCCTAGGCAATGATTGCAGAAAGATTTTCTTTTTCTTTCTAATAAGTTCACAGACAATCCATGTGGTAATGTATACAGATGCAGTGAATAAACTTGCAGTTGTAAAACTTTCACATCAATAATTTGTCCTGACACTGATGAGTGTTATGCTGGGATATACTTGGAGGCATGTACAGACTTGTGTAGAGGTGGCTGCACTCTCTGTAGCTGTTATATCCAGTATCCATGTAACATCTCACTGTGTATTCTAGCTAGCAAGGATTCTTATGAAGACATTTCACTGATCCTTTGACTTGCAAGGATCTATGAAGAATTTCACTGATCTTTTGACTGTTTAGTCTCTCCAATCTAAGCATTGATAGTGTGACCTCTGTAACTTACAGTTGTGATGAGATAGCGATAACTTCAACCTCAGTTGGAGTCCACAGTCAGTGACTCAATTGATAAGACATCTTGTAGATCTTGTGAAGTTTATTCCAGAAACTGAGAGAATCTTACAACAATGAACATTTGATAGGTCAAAAGATCATAATGTTTCCTGCTCCAAGACATGAGGCTAGAGCTGCAATGCATTTCTGGGAAAGGGGGAGGGCTATCTATACAGCATTAACTAGACCAAAGGAAAGGGAGGAGCAGAAACAAAATATAGAAACACTTAAAGGCATATGACAGTCAATTTGACAGTCATGTGAAACATGACAGTACTGCAGACCATAAGGAGAGGCATCACAATCAAAGGTGACAGGCTTGTGGAGGTCATAATGTACAAGCATGTGTGACGCCAACAGTTTACGTTTAGAGATCTCAAAAGCTTGTTGACATTCAGCTGACCACTCCCATCTGGAGTGTTTCTCCAGGAGCTTATGCAGTGGGAACAAAGTGTGAGCTAGGTCTGGAAGAAATTTACTATAGTAAGGTACGATTGTAGTTGCTGAACATTTGTTGGGGCTGGTGCCTTGACTAAACCATCAACCTTGGCTTCAGTGGTGTGTATACCTTCAGCATCTACTAGGTGGCCACAAAACTCCAATTTAGGTGACATGAATTTGCATTTTGCTAAGTTCACCTTGAGACCCTGGTCTTGGAGTCTTTGCAAAACAAGCTCTACGTTCCGCTTGTGTTCTTGGTCTGTCCAACCAGTGATGAGCATATCATCTAACAGACACTGCGTGAAGGGAATGTCTGCTAAAATTTCATCCATCTTTCTCTGTCAGATGGCTGGCGCAGATACTATGCCAAACACCATCCAATTGTATTTGTACAACCCCTTGTGGGTGTTAATGGTGAGGTATTTTCGACATGAAGGGTGGACCTCAAACTATAAGTAAGTTAGTCCGAGATTCCAGCAAGTGAGGCGAAGATGTCATCTACTCTGGGTAGAGGATACTGGTCTACCTCCAGTTGGGTATTTAGTGCCATATGAAAATCCCACAAATGCACAAGTCCCCATTTGATTTCTTTACTAGCACAATAGGTGAGGCCCATTCACTGTGTTCTTTACTTTATCATTTACTTTGGAAATGATACCCTCTTCTTCTAGCCAGAATAGTTCAGCTTCCAGTCCTGCTCAAAGTGCAAATGGTACTGTGAGAGCTTTGAAGAATCTAAGATGACCATTTGGTTTCAGCTTCAGCCTCACACAGTCATTTTTGATTTTCCCCAAACGTTCATCAAAAACCTCAGGGAACCGCTGTTTCAAGGACTTCACCCATCCATCATTTTTTTCCTGATGGGACTGTAAATGTGTTGCAAGGGTTCTGGATTATATTTGGCATTCCCAGATGAGCAATCCATTCTCTGCCAAAGAGAGGCGGTCTTCCTTGTTTCAGGATATACAGCGGTAGTCTCTTTTGTCTGGCCCTTGTATGATACCTGTACCTTTGCACAACCGAGCGAGTGGAGTATTTGCATAGAGTATGTCTGCAGCTTGATAAGAGTTGGGTGGGCAGCTGCCAGAATCTGAAGTTGTCTCCACTGTTTTTGTGTGATAACTGAAACTGCAGGTCCTGTGTCTACATCCATCTTTAGTGTTTTTCCCTCAATGGTTACTTTTACTGTCATTGCAGAGGTTGATGAGTGCAGGTGCTGTATAGATAATCTGTGTAATGCTTCCTCATTGTTTGACTCAAATGATGGTGCATGTTTTTCTACCTTGGAAGTATTCTTCTTGGGGTACTGAGATTGCTTTTCTAGCACACCCCTGCTATGGCAGACCTATCTGAGATAGCCCATTTTTCCACAGTGATGACAAGTCTGATCCTTAAACCGGCAGTATGTGGAATCATGGTCTGCATTACCGCAACGGTAGCACGCTGACTTGGGTTGGGGGTCTGTATTTCTAGTTGGACATAGCTGGAGTAACGGCTGTTCTGAAAATTTCTTCTTTCACTCATTCCATGTGACCCTAAGGGTTCAATTCCTCTGTATCCCTGACAGCCATTTTCATAGCTGATGCTATCTCAGTTGCCCTTGTAGGGGTAAGTTCCTTTTCTGTCAGAAGTCTCTTTTGAATATTTTCACTATTTAGTCCCAGGACAAACTTGTTCCTCAATGCAGTAGATAGGTACTCCCCAAATATACAGGTGGAGGCCAGTTTGCGAAGGGCTACCACATATGCCTTAATCTCTTCGGCTGGCTGCTGTTGCCGCTTTTTAACGGTTTGGGCTGAAAATGATCCTCTAATTCAGGGGTTCTCAAACTTTTTAAACAGGGGGCCAGTTCACTGTCCCTCAGACCGTTGGAGGGCCGGACTATAGTTTAAAAAAAAAAAAACTATGAACAAATGCGGACACAGTACAGGATATGACCAAAGACTGCGGACATACAACAGCGGCGGGAATACTGGACCGGCCGCTCCATAAGATGCACAGACATTTCCCCCCAAGTGTGTCTTATGGAGCACAATAGTGCCCCATCATTGGTGTCAGTGGGAGGAGTAGTGCCCCATCATTGGTGTCAGTGGGAAGAATCGTGCCCCATCATTGGTGTCAGTGGGAAGAAACGTGCCCCATCATTGGTGTCAGTGGGAGAAATAGTGCCCCATCATTGGTGTCAGTGGGAAGAATCGTGCCCCATCATTGGTGTCAGTGGGAGGAATCGTGCCCCATCATTGGTGTCAGTGGGAGGAATAGTGCCCCATCATTAGTGTCAGTAGGAGGAATAGTGCCCCATCATTGGTGTCAGTGGGAAGAAACGTGCCCCATCATTGGTGTCAGTGGGAGGAATAGTGCCCCATCATTGGTGTCAGTGGGAGGAATAGTGCCCCATCATTAATGTCAGTGGGGGGAGGAATAGTGCCCCACTGTTGGTGTCAGTGGGGGGAGGAATAGTGCCCCATTGTTGGTGTCAGTGTGGGGGAGGGGGGGATAGTGCCCCATCATTGGTGTTAGTGGGGGAAGGGGATAGTGTCCCAACATTGGTGTCAGTGGGAGGAATAGTGCCCCATCTTTGGTGTCAGTGGGAGGAATAGTACGTCATTGATGTCAGTGGGGGGGAATAGTGCCCCGTCATTGGTGTCAGTGGGGGGATAGTGTCCCAACATTGGTGTCAGTGGGAGGAATAGTACCCCATCATTGGTGTCAGTGGGGGAAGGAATAGTGTTCCATAGTTGGTGTCAGTGGGGGGTGGAATAGTGCCCCATTGTTGGTGTCAGTGGGGGGGGGGAGGAATAGTTCCCCATCTTTGGTGTCAGTGGGGGGGGGAATAGTGCCCCATCGTTGGTATCAGTGGGGGGGATGAATAGTGCCACATTGGTGTCAATGGGGGGGATAATGTCCCAACATTGGTGTCAGTGGGAGGAATAGTACCCCATCATTGGTGTCAGTGGGGGAAGGAATAGTGTTCCATAGTTGCTGTCAGTGGGGGGGGGAATAGTGCCCCATCGTTGGTGTCAGTGGGGGTGAAATAGTACCCCATCATTGGTGTCAGCGGGGGATGGAATAGTGTTCCATAGTTGCTCTCAGTGGGGGGTGGAATAGTGCCCCATCATTGGTGTCAGTGGGGGTGGAATAGTGCCCCATCATTGGTGTCAGTGCGGGGGGAGGAATAGTGCCCCATCGTTGGTGTCAGTGGGGGGAGGAATAGTGCCCCATCATTGGTGTTAGTGGGAGGAATAATGCCCCATCATTAGTATCAGTGACACCAATGATGGGGCACTATTCCTCCCACTGACCCCAATGACACTTAACTTGCTGACCCCTGTTCCAGCATGGTGCTGTTGCAGCCAGCATACCTGGTTACAGCAGCACCATCTGCACGGCACACTTACCTGTCAGCTGTCCTTCTTCACTCCGGCCTCTCCCTCACTCGATGTTGGCGGGGCTGCTCGGCTCCGCCTCCTCACAGGTGATTGTCCGCCTGTGTGCCTTTCCTGAGCTACAGTTCTGGCACCCAATCACCGGTGAGGAGGCGGAGCCGAGCGGCAGGAGTGAGGGAGAGACCGGAGTGAATGAAGGAGCAGCGCTTCCTGGACTGGATTGTCGTGGGACTGGGACCGGAGCCAGGTAAGGTACAGCAGCCCCCTGCCCGCCCCTATACTTAGTGTCCCTTCCTCGTGGAAAATACGCCCCTGCCGGCGGGCTGGATAAATGGCCATGTGGCCCGCGGGCCGTAGTTTGAGGACCCCTGTTCTAATTGTTTTAAGAGTTCTGTTAATGGTTTGTTTGCTGGTTTCTCAGGAAACAGAAGATCTCTAAGAGTGTCATATGTTTTAGCCCCAACAGCTGTCAGAAATACAGCTACTTGCCTATCAGGAGCAGGGGCGGACTGACAACTCATGGGGCCCCCGGGCAATAGGGGATCATGGGGCCCCTGTGTCCTTGCCCAAACTCATAAAAGCCTATGAAAAAGGTACCAGGGGCATCTCATGGGGCCCCCTACTGACCCTGGGCCCTTGGGCAGTGCCCGAGTTTCCAAATGGTCAGTCCGTCCCTGATCAGGAGGTATGGCGTTTGCACTGTACTGTTCCAGTCTTTCAGCCCAGGAACTCCAGTAGGTCTGCTCTCCATCAAATTCACTTAATGTGCCTGTCAGTGCCATCTTCCTGCTGGGTATCTGTGGATGTACTTTCTCCAGGTGCCAGTATCTCTTGTTGTTTTGTTTTCCTCTCACTCTCTAGATCAGGCTGGACACAGCCTTCATAAATCCGATCCTCGTCGCCACTGTTATACTTTCTGTCTGCTGAGAGGCCTTTGTTGCTGGTTGCACCATTCCTTTATTGCTGCACTCTTACTTTATAATCAGGTTATTTAGTATCATCACAGGAATACAGCAGTGTACATCCTCTTCTATTACCGTCTATACACACTCTCCATGACTACCCAAGATGGCTGCCGTGCCCTCTGATGTGTGTCATTCCTTGTCGGAGCCACTAGTTAAGGTGACAGAGAGTGTAAACACATTCAGCTATAACAACGTTCATCCAAGTAAAATTCTTCTCTCCTTCTGGGGGACTTTGTGGCCTCTGTGAACATCAAGGATACCTGCTTGCATGTCCTCATCTTCCCAGCTATTAAAGTGTTACTAAACCTAGGCCCCTGCATTCACTATATCTGGTCTCCCACAGTACACAGAACATGGAAATGCAATTATTTTAGTAAATATAAACTGCTAAATATATTTTTCTCATCAGCAGTTAGAGCAAACTTGTGACTGCTATCAGTGTCCAGCTGAGTATTGGTTAAAGCGTGTAGGAGGAGGTTTTATTTTGCTCTAGGAGGATGCAGAACCCCTGACCTCTGTCTGGATAGTGCTGATTGGCCCTGTGCTGATCACATGCATTCTCCCAAGAAAAAAAAAAAAAAACCTCTCTTGCAATACACACCAAATTGAGCATGTGCAGAGTGACTCCACACTATGTGTTATCAGAAGATAAGAGGGGGAACTGGAAGAAGGGGAGGGTCAGAGAAGTCAGGATCAAACAGTGTTTTACACAGTGCAGAAGATTGACTTCTTAGGTTCCACAGTGAGTATAACAAGCATGCTTTACTGCATATACAGACTGATTTTACTGTTGTAGGTTTAATAATACTTTAACGCTACCTGCTTTTTGCTGTGGGCTTGCATCACTATAAGTTTGTTGCCTTTCCCTTTGATCTGTTCACTGTACCTTAAATATTCACCAAGGCACTAGACCCCGTGCTAGTCTTGCTACACTCTCAAGTGTTTTGCTTGGCCTATAATGGTTCTATTGTGGTACAAGCCAAGGAAGCGATTAAAACTCTGTAGTGTAATAATGTGCTTTACTAAACAGAAAATCTGCACATACAACTGCAGGATACCAAATCATAACAAAATATGCCTACAACATGCACAATCTGACTATCTGTGTATGTGATAGGCATATACTCAAACAGTTACTTAAGTTGGACTTTTCTCTATGATGGAGTCATTTTCTAGGATCCAGGACCTTCCAGACTGCTTCCTCTTTCTCCACAGTCCTCAGAGCAAATGTTGCTTATTTGTCTTCCAACAACTCTGTATTCCTTTTGCTTCAGAACAAGTCTGTCTTTGTCTCTCACCACATAGTGGTCTTAATTCGTAGTCCCCTACATCATCTCCTCTAGCCTGAGTTCCTCTGCTGAGCTCATAAACCAGTCCGATTGGTTCATTTCATACCAATAGGGGAGGCTTAGCTTTAAACACAACACTTGTAACTTAAGAATCACATATCTAAGCTATAAAAATCACCGCATATCCATAGCAACACATTCCACCTTGATTTTTTATAGCATGATATGTGAAAAACTGGAAACTTAGCAATTCTGTACAGCTTTTTTATAACCTTTGTCCAGGAAAGGGCGAAATAAACCTCCTGTATTGCAAATGGGAGGAAAAAATTCCCTTTTGACCCCGGTATGTTCTGGGTGATCAGACTTTTGTCCCTGGATAAGATGCAACATTCCTTTCAGCAGGGAAGGAAAGTAAGTCCCAGTTGAAAGTTCCTTGACCTCCTGGTCATAAGGGAATGCTCAGATGAAAGTCCACTCCAATTCAGCCGCCATCAGGAAATCTTCTTCATCTTCCTCATGCTCTCATCTCCTCTTCTGGTTTGCCTCATCCCATCTGGCCTGGTCATGTGCTCTGCCTGCTCCACCTCTCTAATGTTCATTACCTTAAAAGAGTAAGAGACAAAGCAGATTATATGTTCTTTCCAGCTGTGCCAAAAAACATAGCTGACTGCTCACATTTCTCTACCCCTCAACCCCTACCTTAATTAAATCAGTCCACATGTGTCTCTTGAAAATCAGAGGCCTTGCCTTCCTTTTATCTGACTCAACTTGGCCATCTCTATTTCAGTTGGTCAGATTCCCAGCTTCCCGCTTATGGGAAGTAACAGTGCCATTTGTCCTACTCCTACTTAGAGGCTTAAGGCCTTTGTCCTTTGTTACAGCATCATTAAACTTGTTCATGAGGGCTGTACACCACACTTCGAAGCCACTGCAGGTTTAACTTCGAGTTCCCTACTTTTTAAATCCTTTGCCTTGCTTGCAGTGTCTTCCAAACACTCAGTTGCCACTGTAAGCTGCTCTTTCAGTAAGTCTCTTTCTACCTCTGGCTTTTTATCTCTTTTCAGATTCAATATGTAGAAAGTTCAAACCAAACACAGCTACTTCCTGCATCTCTCCCTTACTGAACCAAAAACCTCTAAGACTAAAATCTGAGGAAAAATCAGACTCCATAACCCCAAGCTCTGTTCAAAGGAGAAGCATACCTAGCTCTTTTGCAACAGACATCCACTTACGGTCTCTGGCCCAGGTAGGCAGGGTACACACCTCCTCCTGGATACCAGAAACCTCTGCCAGCTTACTTTTCCTAAACAGTGTACACAGCATTTTTTCCAAGCACAAGCAATAGTAACAAAAAAAAAGCACAAAGAACAGGTCTACTTCAGTTGAGCTTTAGCCAAAGTTGGGGACAAGCCCCCAACTGTTGTGTCTTTTAGGTTACTATGTGGTATAACTCAAGAAAGCTTATACCACTGTAGTGGAATAATATTCTTCGCTGAACAGAAAAGCCGCACATACAACTGCAGGAAAACAATTGGTAGAACCAGTTCCATTGGTGGTAGTTTCATGGTGTGGGCATATATGGCTGCCAATGGAACTGGTTCTCTTGTATTTATTGATGATGTGACTGCTGACAAAAGCAGCAGGATGAATTCTGAAGTGTTTCGGGCAATATTATCTGCTCATATTCAGCCAAATGCTTCAGAACTCATTGGTCGCCGCTTCACAGTGCAGATGGACAATGACCCAAAGCATACTGCAAAAGCAACCAAAGAGTTTTTTAAGGGAAAGAAGTGGAATGTTATGCAATGGCCAAGTCAATCACCTGACCTGAATCTAATTGAGCATGCATTTCACTTGCTGAAGACAAAACTGAAGGGAAAATGCCCCAAGAACAAGCAGGAACTGAAGACAGTTGCAGTAGAGGCCTGGCACAGCATCACCAGGGATGAAACCCAGCGTCTGGTGATGTCTATGCGTTCCAGACTTCAGG